GATCTGTGAAAGAATATCTCTTCTGCTTTGCTGGATAGATGAGCCAGAGATGGGGCAGTTTGGTGGAGGGAGGGGGTGGTAAATGAAAAAAGAAGCAACAGCTGAGAGAGCTCTTTCTGTTTCCAAGCTTGTCTGTTTGTGATGTGTCTCTGTCCACAGTTAGGCTTCACTGCGTCTGTTAATACCCACACACCCACGCACCCACAGCAGCCTTAAAGCTAGTCCAACATTTATTAGTTTTTTTATCCAATATAGACATGCATTTCCAGGTATATAAGTTTTTGCACATAAAATCTAAAACACCTTCCATTTAAAACTTTCAGGGTAAAATTTTCAAAGGATGTTTTTCTGTTATGCCTATTTGCATTTTGAGTGCAGTGCGTGCGTGCAAGAAAATCACCTCTTTACCACAACCAGTGCCTTCAAAAACCAAGTTACAAGATGTGTGAGAAGCTCGAGCTCTGAATTCCTCCAGTCTGCACGGTCACATTGCCAGGAAGCAGGATGTGGTAAAAGTCTCTTCATCTGCTTCTACCTCAGTGACGATCATCTTCTCTTTCTCCCATCCATCTGTATCTGTGTCTGTGCTGCCCACGCAGTACAGAGAGAATTCGCATGAAAAACGAATTCGACTGCCAATAATGGTAAAAAAAAAAGTTCTATAAAAGAGCTAGTTTCATATCTTTTGGCTTAAAATGCTCTTCAATTTAGACCCCAGTTTTCCACTGCAATCTTTAAGTGTTCAGCAGAAACCATAAGATTCCCAATGGTCTACTCCGTCTTTCCTCCATGTTGCATTTATCCTGAATGTCGTCAGATTTTCCTCACCGGTTTTTCGGTTAGGGGAGAAGAACTAAAAGGGAGAATTTCTAAGAGTTGCCCCTTTGAAAATACCAGTGCACTGCATGATTGGAAGTCAGACAGACGCGCACTACGAAGGGAGCCAAATTTCGTACAGTCATTCATCCATTTATTACACCTAATTCAGGGTCGCAGAAAGGCTGGAGTCTATCCCAGCTGTCGTTGGGTGGGAAGTAAGTTAAACCCTGGACAGGTCATCAGTCCATCCCAGGGCCATGCACAGAACATCACATTCACCCAGGCATACGCAGGTAGGATATGAAAACTCCCCCCCAGAAAGGCCCCGACATTATGTGTGTGCGTGAGCCTCACAAGACGTAAATGAGACTCGAGAGAATGAGAAGGGGTGAAAACCATTATCAAAGCACACTTGATTTTTCTCAGCTGAGACGCCCGAGTCTGAGCTGGACGGCAGACGCCGTGCCCTGGAAACTCACAGCGAGAATCTGTAAAAGTGATTTAGCTTACATGTATGCGTGGTTACACGTTTGACAGATAAAGGAGGTCCTATTTACCTATAACATGATGGCAGGCTTTAAGCTGAGGTTCTCAGAGAGACCACACACAGTATCCTCTCCAGGCTTGTTTGCTTGTCCTTAGAATGTAAAAAAACAAGCAATAGTGACCTCTGAGGCTACTTGTAGGCCTTATTTGATGCCTCCATCAGAGTGTTTCTCTGTTCTAAAAGGATTAGGAAGTTGTCCTATTTAATGCCACACGAACGTCTTAGTCCCAACGTCATCCTGCCGTCCTGGGGTGAGTGACTTCTTGTGCCAGTGTTTGGGTAACCATGGACTCTCCTGCCAAGTCACTTAGGTGACATTTGTTTTTTTTTATGATGTGCCTTGATGTGGCAGAATGGCTGGCCGCAGTGGAACAGATAGGGCTAAAAATGTTGCTGGCGTGTTAAGCATCTAAATCAACCCGAGCTCCTGGACTCTTTGGTTTTATGAGGTGTAGGACTGTTGCTGCTCCATTCAGACCGCTTTACACTGAGGTCACCGCAAACAGATTAGAGATCGCACCAGTGTGTGACCGAAGCCCACTGTTATTGCCTCACTGCGTGAATGATTGGTTGAGTTAATGAAAGCATGACATCATGTCTTTCACTAGGTTCCTTTTTAAGCGGCCTTAACCCTTTAAATGGGATAATAGAAAAGATCCACCCAAGAAAATTAGCGTCTGACATTGTAGAGGCATGAAAACGTTAGGGGAAGACAACAGTTGCATGTTGAGTACAAATTGCAACACACATGTGGGCTGAAACCTGATGTATGCAACCAGAGAAGACTGGGAACACCTATAGACTAAGGCGAGATTATCAAGAGTCTCTTCTGAGTATGAAGCCATTCATTAGGTGGGATCATCTTTCTGTATAAACAATAGTTTACTACCAAGAACCATAAACACATTATTCAGAGCCAGCAATTATTCTTAATGTGGACCGAACATTTTGTAATGTTTTTATCTTGTATTCTTGTTCTCATGATATTATGTATTTGCAGTTAAAACATAATGGCGTTAAGACCTCACACCTCATCCACGCTATAAGCCAGAGGGGAAAATAGTTCATGTCGAGAGGGTATGTTATCGCATCAGGACATCTTGATATGAATGCATTGGCCTTAAATGTCCTCATAAAACGATAGGAGCGAACACAGATCTATGTCAGAGGGGGAATCGCTTGCATAACCACCACTTTCTTTACCCGCCAATGGCCAAAGACCAAGAGAGTTACATCTTTGAAAAAGTGGACAAAAGACCATTTGTTTCTCTGACACATTTACCTGAGGGAGTCTAAGCAGAGTGCATTTGCAATAATACTTCAATGGCTCATTTTTTACAATACTGGATTGTTCCTTCCTTCAACTCTCAACTGTTTGCTTCAAAGCTTATTAACCATACTTTGGAAAAGAGGCAGCTCCATTGCAAATCCATCATCTATAAGGGTGGCAGGCTCCTGTAACTCCTTTGGAAACATTGTTGTGGCTTGCTTGTGATCATTACTGGGACTTTGGCCACTCTGGAACCAAACATTTTACTCAGGAGTTCACGGAGACAAAAAACAACTGAAGGGGACTGATTATCAGCATGTCTATGCTGTCTGTACATTTTGTCCAGTGGGTTGAGAAAAAAGAAATGAACGTAAGGGAAAAGGCTGGGACATAAATTACACGCCCTTCTACATTTCCCCCCTCTTAAAGTAATTAAATACCCATTTTACAATATTCAGATGCCAATCAGGAACACTTTTTTGGAACAGCTCCAGACGGTAATTTATAGCACAGGTCATGTAAAAAACAAGAGCTGTGTTTTCTGACCACCGTCACAACAAGGCATATTTGTTCCACAGGCTCCAAAGGCTTTTTACGTTCCTCAGGTCATGGCTGAACTTCTCATATTTATGCTAACTAAACTGCAGGCTGGCAGGCTAATTCACTGGTATGTGTTTTCATTAGGTCTCGGGAGCCAGGTAAAGCCCCCTCTCTAACGTGGTTCCTCTGAACTCTGACCTGGGCTTTAATGGGAAGCCTGGCAGAGAAGGAGGGTCAAGGCTTTAGAGTTGGCACGCTTAAATTTAAAGTCACAACTTGAGGAGGCACAACAGATTATATAACCTCTGTCACTGGACACTAATGATTTAGTTGGGCTTGAGGAATGTCCACCCTCAATAGGTCACTTCTACATCAGTTTCTGTTTGCAGCAACAAAATTAGCTTTGGTATGATAAGATTGGACAAATCCTGCTCTGTCTGCTGGATAACAGTCATTTAGAGCATGTGACCAGGCACTTGTGCTGCGCCACAGGCTACAAAGCGAGCTCAGAAAAAACCTGTCATGCTGGGGTCTTTCCTTTATTTTTATCTTCTGCTTTTCTTTCTTCATAGGTCAAAGCTGAATGAGTATTTGTGTAGCTACTCCCATGATGCCAACCGTTACAGTGTGAAAGACATTCACCATTTGATTAAAGACGGTTCGCAGTTTTACATCCGCAGCCTCAGGTCCTCTAAAATGGTCTTTTTCTCACTTTGTGTGTGCGTTTGGAAAAATAATTGGTTGACAATTAATTAAAAGACAATAATAAAAATGTAAACTGATGTCCTGGATGTCACTGACAAATAGAAACCAAGGCTATGGCCTCCTGTCAATTGCCTCAAGTTACAACATGGACTTTGAATAGAGAACTTGTAAAATGATGTCATATAGTCTTGCACTCTAAATGCATCCTCATACTTCAGTGAAACCTCAACCTCTTTCAGTTGTTGATTTTGTGAAAGACAGACGGCCAGAAGGTTTGCGAAGGCTTTCTATTGTGTGTCCGTGTGGGCCGACCACTTTCTTTATGTTGGCCCAGAACTCCGTCTTTTGGAGTTTTATTTTACAGCTCCTGGAGCTCAGGTAACACATCTCCAAATAGAATCTAAGCCATTGTCGTTTTAGCTACCCTCCCTGCGAGCCACGGTCACCTGTAACCCGTACTCATGTTCACGGCCTTACCATCCTGTTCGTCCCGTTTTCACGTCCTTTACCAGAAATGACTGAGAACTGGGCGAGCGTGGTGCACCCAGTCTGGGACTGTTCCGTGCACGGTGATGAGTCGTCAGATGGGATGCTTTGAATTCCTCTGTAATGACAAGAACGTTCAATGGGCAGAAAAACAACCCCTCCACCGCAGATAAGACAAAAGCGTTGCGGGGAAACTCGCGTGCCCTCGGGGGCAGCTTCAAATTCATGACTGCCACTTGTGTGTGAGAAAAAGGAAAGTCTCACCTGTTGCAGAGACCAACCTTGAGCAGGCAGCCAGGGAACAAATACCAACAGCAGTGCCAAACACGCCAGAAATGTTCTCAAGTGTGTAAGCTTTTTAATCAATATGAGCACCAGTGTTATGTAGTGTGTAGTGGTGGAGGGAGGTTTAAGGGTTTAAGGATTAAGCAGGAAAGAGGCAAAACAAGCATGTGAGCTGATTGTAAGTCATGCTGATACACCCTAGAATATACACACATACAAACCCATATATGTGTGTATATACATAAAGGATACCCGTTCAACTTAAACATAAGAACTAACAGCAGAATTATTGCTGTGCAATACCTGGAGGAGGAAGCTCTTGTCACTTGCCAACACTTGCCAGCTGGCTCGCATCCTCAGTCCGTCCTTTTCAGCCAATTCATTGGCCTCCCCAGCTGAGCGTCAAGCGCAGGGGGCTGGCCCTGACGCGGGGTTTATCGCCAGGAATGTGTAGTAGCGCTCAAACAAATCCACCACACCGCTCATGAGACTGCTGCGTCCCTCCTGGCATCGTCCTTTACACCGGGACGCCTTCAGTCTGGATTATCATCCATATTTTTGTTGCCACAAAGAGGCTTCTTTTTTATCATGCTATTTTTTTAAAACTTGAGCAGATCACAAGATCGTCTTTGTTTGAATTGATAGTGGATGGACATTGTTTCATTTCAACGCACGACTTCTATGGCAAACTTAAAGACGATGAGCAAAAACGGAATGGTGACAGAAATCCACACCAGGATAAGAAAAGACCCGTTCACAGCCAGTTATGAGCTGGTGGGAAAAGAGCTGGGCAGGTGAGTGACTTTGCGCAAACCTCGGGCTATATCGTTGCTGAGATATCCCGTCAGATGATTTCTCTGCTGCGCTATCCCACTGACCGGACTTTTGCAGCATTATGTAGCTAATCACTAAGCAAATCGACTAATCATGTTGGATTTACTTCCTACACGTGTTTGGGGAGCGTGTTAATTGAACATTTACGACCCCACATTCCTGCCCGTGGAGCCCCGGCGCTTGGCACCGGGAATGCGCAATGGTAATGCGCTTTTGAGGGACTTGGCTGGAAGTTACCGGATTTTTTTTTTTTCGTTTTACGCGACGAATAATAGTGATGAGTGGGGTAAACAGTCGAAATCACAGAAAAGGCACAGAAACTTCAACCCTTTAACACCTTCGCCTCTGCTGCTCTGTCCTAAAAGTACCCACCATCCACTGTTATGGTTTGCTGCCCACGTGTGTGGTCTTGTTGGTCCTACTGTATATCATCAGTTGAATTTCAGTTTTAGTTTAAATTTATTTTCTCCCTTTGCTGCTATGTCAAATAACAACATATGCAACAAAACCGAGTGATCACCATAACTTCTGGAAACATGAGGTGCAGACTTGAATTCGGCTTGAATTCCAGTGATGGAGCTGTTTGTTACCATTTTGAAATGATGCATCTTCGTAAACAAAAGGACATGTGTATGTCTGTTGCTGTTTCCTATATAGCGTAGGCGGCAGCACCCCCCACAACGCTCCTTTCTTCCCGTTGCCCCTGACTTTAACCTAACAACATCCTGAGATCAGGCCTCATAATCGCATTAAATGAAGGAATGCATGCCGTGCTCCAAAACCGGAGATCAGGTGTGTAGTCTGTACATTGGGGTGTTGACCATATTCAAACCACTTGATGCGTGTTTTATTATTTCCAAAGTTTCTCAACTTTGTACGAGGTTGTGAAACAAAAGAACAAGACTGTTTGGTCTTAATTTTCAAAGCATCCTCGTCATCGGGCTTTGCGCTGTGAGCTGAGGTCCCCTTCAGAGAAGAGAACAAAACATGCAGCAGCCAACTTTAAAGCAGGAAGAGGAAGTCCTGTTGTGTGTCAGTCTGTCTGAGAAATAGGCAAATAGAAGCTGTCATCTCTCACCACACATCAGACATGAGTCAGTGTCCTGTTGAGGGAGACAAAATGCAGACACCACAGGAAACCAATTTCTCTATCAAATTATCACCAACCCAGTTCCTAGGGAGGAATTTTCTCTGAAGTTAAAAAACAATAGTGGATTATGAACTAGTTCTGTAGATATTCTTACCTGAACCTGATGATTGGATTTTAATACTGTGTAAATGCATTTGTAGATCCAGATAGAATGCCATAGAAAAAAACATAAATGTTTGAGTTTAGTAGCTAACTTTTTCTGCAGAGTGAACAGGATTTGTAGTCAAAGGGAAAAGAGGAGAAAAGAAATTTAAAGTGATGTTTGAAATACAAGAAAAAGGCTCTTAGCATCCAAAACATGGCCAGCTGGAAGATGGCCTTGTCTTGTGACCTCTGACCTGTTGTCAGCCTTTGAAAAGGCCTCCCGTTGCTCTTTTCTGTAACTACTGGTCATTTCTTTTCTCTCCATCTGTAGTTCCCATCTCAAAGATCTGAACTTGGCTAATTAAGGATGAAGCTTCTGACGGATTTAGCCTTTTCTCACTGAATAATGATATGTTACCATTCTTTGAGACTAGGAAACTGCATTAGAGAGGAAACCGGGCCTGGCAGCCAGGCTGGGAGCCAAAACAGAATCAGGCTTGAGCCAGAGCTTTGCTGTTTTTGGTCAGCAGCGCAGCAGTGTTTGAGTTACTCTGTGTGGGAAATTGACTGGCACCACGCTGACTGGACCTTTCTCACTTGGCCTCTTCATTTAGATTTATGCCCTGTTCAGTCATCTTTTCACAGTCTGCTCAGTTTTCCCAAGCTCTTCGGCTGCGGACTGTGAGACGGACTGAGGCTTAAGTTGGACGTTGCCGTTACAGTGTCCATCTTTGCATGCTGTTCAGGCTCCAGCGTGACAGAAACAGCAGTGACCCCCCGCCTGGCATGACCAGCCACAGTCAGATGGGTGGTCTCGGTCTCGAAGCCCCTGTGTTTAGCTGACTGCTCAGCCTTTGTATGACTGTCAAAGGAGAATCATTCTCTGGCAAAGTGTCTGGGTGGAGGTGTCAACACAGCTCCATTTGTCCGCCCGGCTGTCATCTGTAAAGAAAAGGGAAGTGAACAAGGCCTCATTATCATTGTGGGAGGGACGACAAACGATTGTGTTGGTTCGACTCGGAAAGGCAATTTCGCACATATCGGACATCCTGCCCACACCCACGGATGACCCCTCACACCTCCCTTCAATCCGTCAATGTTTATGCATAGAAGTGAATAAGTGATGCTGATGAAAAAATAAATGTCCTCTCTTAAATCCCGTGTCGGAGCACTGACATCCAGCAACCTGTTGTCGCGCCTCTTTGTTATTTCTTGACCTATAAAGTGGTTAAACTCTTATCAGGTCCCTGCCCACTTTCAACGGCTTTTGCCAAAAGTGTCAAACTTATCTGCCGTCTGTCAGACCCTCCTTAGGGCTAAAGGAAGAGGAGGAGAAGGGATGAACTCTCAACCGAGTGTACTGTGACACCTCCCTTAGTACAGCATATCGCTAACGGCCCGGATTTTCAAATGATGCCATTTTGAACCTCTTATCAGTGCCCTGCTCCATAAACTCACCTTCAGTGTTTTACGTACAGCTCACTGCTAACATATTTCATGGAGATTTAGATCCCCTTGAAATTTAACTATCAGGAGTATGACCTGTTCTTATATCTTTTTTTATATTTGCTTTATTTGAAGATACTTTCCTTTCTTTCCAGTGGTTTCATGGATAATTTCTGACCAAATAGCTAATGAAAAACAAAAACAGGGTAGTCATTTTCTGCCTCCTTGCTAACTACATATTTGGGCTCCTTTTATGTCTCTTAGGGGAAAGTTTGCAGTGGTGAAGAAGTGCATGGAGAAGGCAACAGGCAAGCAGTATGCTGCCAAGTTCCTGAGAAAGCGGCGGAAGGGAGAGGACTGCCGCATGGACATCATGAACGAGATCGCTGTGCTGGAGTCTGCCAAGGCCAACCCATATGTGGTGGCTCTGCATGAGGTCTATGAAACCAGCTCTGAAATCGTCCTCGTTCTAGAGTGGTAAGTGATCGGTCGACGGAGACCTCGTAAAGCTCTTTAAAATCAGTCCGTCTCTCCTAAATTAGCCTGCGTTCACACATAACCAGCTGTGGTGACGAGCTGATCTAGATCAGCCATTGCCACCCTTCCTCACTTAAAGTTAATACTGGATAATTAAGCTCTTGCCTTGAGGACAAAAACCTCCAGGTCATTTTATAACCCTAAAAGTATTCTATCTCTGTTGAATCCCAAACTATTTAAGTAAAAATCGTTCATTTAGATTCTGCTTAATGGGAAGTGTGTCTTTTGGAGAAGGCCTTACAGCACACCTGACAGAGACATCTTGTAATATCCTGAATTTTTCACAAGCTTTTCTGTGAGTGCACGTGCGAAAGGCACCGCCTTGCATCACTGTTTCATCAACTATTTCGGGCCTTATATGGAGATTCTCTCTTTCTGTGGTTCTTTGCTCTTCTCGGTCTTGCCTCAGCACCTCATTTCTAAGGCTAGATGACGGGAAGTGTGCATTTAAATACCAATGTGGCAACGCTGCTTACTTCTCACTGCGATAAAAATGGTTAGTGAGTCATTTAAAGCCCTGTGTGAGAAATGGTGAGCCCCGGCCATGCTGCTGAACCAGCAAACATTTAACACAAGTCATTCTTTGAAATGACACTATCTCGTCGGCTGTCTGGTTCTGGTGAAACAGCATGATGTAACAAGCAAGTGTCGCTTTGCAGCTCTGATGACAGAGCTTAAGTAGAATTTTGGAAGGTCCCTTAGCATCTAAATGACCTCATTTGCCTCTGTAGAGGGTCTGACTGAGCCCCATTCCCCAGACCCTGTTGGTCTGAGGTCTTTCTCCGTCCTAGTCCGTGTTTCCTTTTGAGTCTTTCCCATTCCAGACATTAAATGCTTTTGCTGAACAAAAGCCTCCCCGTGGAGACAGCTGCTTTTGACCTCCAAGTGGAGTGTGAAAGGGGAAGTAGCACCATAATTTACCCCTGCATGCCTGCAGAGAAAACATAGCAGGAGGTCAGTTTGTGGAGGCTGACAGTTCCTCTTTCTGCATGTGAACGAAATGTTAATAGCCATTAGCTTGCTTTTTCAGAATCAGAACCTCACTGTATGCGTCCCCAAAGCTGCAGAACTTTTTACAGTCATACATGTGGCCATAGATAAAACCGCCTCCCCGAAGTGTCTGACTGCAGAGCTAGTTTTAAGAACTGAGACCGTTTTCCATTTCCTGTGGGTTTAAGCAGCGAGCGAGGCACCCGAAAGCAGCACACCATGCTGATGCATGAGCGCGCACACGCCTCGTAACCGCAACCGCATCCATGTCAATGTCAAAGTTGACAGAAGTAAAAATTTTCATCATCTTGAAAAGAGCAACTCCATGTGCGTCATTAGCTGAGCAAGCTCCAGCTTAATGACAGGTCAGCGATAAAATAACATGAAACATAGCGAAGTGGAAAAACTACAGCCAAACTATAAGTCACCCATTTCATTTTTTATTATATTTCTTAAACACTTTTCTGTCATTGACAGCATTTTCTAAGACTTATTATAGTATTATTTTCCTTGTAAAGCTCCCGCAGTGTTACCTCTGCGTAAAAGATCCCAGAGCTCATTTGATCTGAGCTGTGCAAAAAAGGTTTTGTCCAGAGACAGCCAGGTTAGGTTTGGCTGCAGCGCTCGACAGGGTCCTGATGGTGACGTAAAAGAGCACCAGGCGGACAGAAAAGCAAACAGAGGCTTTGACCAAAAAGCCGAGCGAAAAACCAGGATGACCTGTTTTATTGGTCCTGACTCCTGAGTGATTTTGAAATTCACTCAACTCCTGTCATTAAACGATTTAACCTCAGCGTGCCCTTAAAACGTTTGTGGCAGCAATGAGTGTGTTTCTGTGGGTTGAGTTGTGGGGGTATGTACAGGCTCAAAAGTGAGCACATTCTTGGAAAGATGGATATCATAACAAATTTTAGACTTCGGGGAAAAAGGAATTCATTCTTTGTGGATTTTGAATATTTTTCTCTTCAATGGAACTAAACGATCTTTATCGTTACTTTGAATCCCTTGAAGGCTCACTGCAGACAGCCGAAAGAAGCAATTTAGGCACTTTTTTTCTTTTTTTTTTGGTGTCAAGTGCTCACAGAGTAAATGTCTGTGTAGTTTTGGCAATCTGGGTACATTAAGAGCTCATTTTAACAGGGAAATCAACACCATTTGTGAAACTATACTTATGGGATTGATCTCCTTAGCAAATCGATATGGTCTGATTGTGTCTAAACCCATCAATTTAACTGCGAGGGCTTCAAAGTTATATTCTTCAAAATGGGTATAAGGTATGCAATAACTGTTGAGGGCAAAAAGGTGGAAACATTATCATAAGAATAATGTAGAATATCCTTTCAAACCAACCAGCGGACATGGTTTCCATTTTTACAGCTGAAGTTAGTCAAAAGGTTCTGGTTATGTAACGTTTCTGCTCATGGCACGGACACAAAGGTTTCCTCTGGGGATAAAAAGCATGTGTGCTCTATAAATCCCTGACACATGGTTGTAGTTTTTTGGGTGAACTGTCAGCTTAAGGCATTGATCTTACTGATCTAACATCTAACAGTAATCCACCATGTCTCCACCTTACTTAACCGTGCTACACAACTGTGGCAGGATCAGTCAGGAATTTCACCATTCCCTCCTTAAAAATCACAAGTCAACAATAAGTTGTCTCAGAACAAAATTCCAGAAAAGGGATAATCTCTTAGTTTTGATCAAACTGGTGGATTTTTTAAATTTTTTTGTACACACAGTATCTGGTTACCATGTGGCCCTCATGATTAGCTGAATTAGTTCAACATTTTCTCTCATACTTTTAAAATCATCTGAGCTTTGATTAGTTAAACACTGCCTGCTTCCCTTTTTTAGAGAGCTTAAGTGAAATAAATCAATGTTATAATAACCTTATCTGAATCTCCTGTTAGCTGACTTCATCATTGCTTTCTCTGTAATATTCCATGGAAGAGGAAGTAGCAATTACAGGTGGGGTTACCAAGATTACATTGATTTATGCTGGACCCGAGTGCAGCGTGTAGATGTGGATGGACCTTGTTCCTGCATGCTTATTAATGAGTACACAAACATTTATCTAATCTTAAAGTTGAAATCACTTCTGGTTTGTTCGCCAAAACTAAATGCAAGTGGAAAGTTTTTGGTTTTAGAGATGTGTGCTCTACAATGAGTGGAGGGGGCAATCGTGCACGTTAGGCCGCAATTCATGCCTGTTAATAAATGTCATACTCTTCCCCACTTATTCAGTTATTTACTTTTTGTTCTTTCTTTACAGTGCTGCCGGTGGGGAAATCTTCAACCAGTGCGTGGCCGACAATGACGATGCCTTCACGGAGAAAGATGTGATCCGACTGGCCAAGCAGATCCTGACAGGAGTGGCCTTCCTCCACCGTAACAATGTGGTCCATTTGGATCTGAAAGTAAGAACAGTGACAGATTTTATGACACTAGACGAAAATTCCCCTCAAGGGTCACATTGTTAAAGATACCATTGCAGTTATGCAATGAAAGCTCATTCTTTGTGTTATGACCCTGTTCCCACGAGGAATCGGTCGGTGGAGGGACTTGGCAGAACTATCATGTTCTCTTTAGTGGGTCATGGGGTAAAAAAGCAGTGATCATTGAGATTCTTTTACTTTTCTCACACTTTGACCGTGTCTGGTTTCCACTCAACCAATCATTCTTGCAGACATTGTGTAATATGCAGTTCCAATACACCAAGCGTGAAGAAGTAAATGCCATTCAAATTTTTTGGCTCTGATGGATGGACTGCTTGTTGTCCTCTTCATTTTCACCTTGCATGCTCCGACCAGCTTTGGCCATTCAAGGCTAAAAGTACTCTCAGTTGTTTGTGCATGCCAGTATTTACGCACCACAGAGCCGTCTCAGTGTTGGACGGATATATCCTACCTGTTTTCGGTGATAGCTGATAGGCTTAGCGGATGATCTGTGCTCAGAGCAGCAGCCAGTACGTTAAGTGACGAACTACACCCCTAATGCTCTCAAGACAAGTTACCTCATACGTCTGGATTCGAGCACATGAACATTTATCAGCATTTTTAGGGGTTTCAAGCTCGCTGATTTGTAGTTAGTCACAATGAGGGCAACATACCTTTTCCTAATCTTTGTGTCCACCCTTCAGCCCCAGAACATCCTGCTTACCAGCGCCAGGCCTCTTGGGGACATTCGAATTGTAGACTTCGGCCTGTCCAGACACATGGACAACATCACAGAGGTCAGGGAGATCCTCGGTACTCCAGAGTATGTCGGTAAGTTTAGCTTAAAGCTCGTGAATTCTCCGATCCACCTGTGTCTTTTCAATCCTAATGTTATGTATCGTGACTGACTAACTGGTTCCATGTGCTTCCATGCAGCTCCAGAGATCCTGAACTATGAACCCATTAGCACTGCTACAGACATGTGGTAGGTGTGCTACTTTGTTCAGACTATTTCCACTCATTTTCAAGCATGCAAAAACATTCAGTCTGCGCTTTTTCTGGGAAATGGACACGCACAGCACAGTGACATCAGCCTTAAAACATCCAGCGAAATGTCATGTCTAGACCTTTTGACCACAAGATAATCCATGCGGCAGGCTTGTCTTGGACAGCTTGCAACGGCACGGCGAAAGTTGGACAAATAACTTTCAAAGATGACATATAGCTCCCTAACCGTCTCCCTCCTCGTTCTGTGCAGGAGCATTGGGGTCCTGACGTACGTCATGCTGACTGGTGAATCTCCATTTCTGGGAGACGACAAGCAGGAGACGTTCCTCAACATCTCCCAGGTCAACGTAGACTACTCGGAGGACACGTTTGAGGGGATTTCCTCCGTGGCCGTTGACTTCATCAAGTCCTTGTTGCTAAAAAATCCCAGGTGAGACCGCACAGATTTTAATCTGAGCAGAAACGGGCAAGTTTCAGTCAGCTTCCCCCTTTTTTATGATTTAAACACCCAGGATGTGAGTCAGGTCAAAAACTGACGGAAGTGCATCCGCAAACATGAAGATGAGTGTCTTCGGTAACAGGATATACGTCATTTAAAAGTAATTTCCTTTGCAGTTTTCGATTAAGTTCTCATTCTTTAGAAAGAAAGAAAAAAACGCCTCCTCCCTCTTTCGATGAAACATAGTTCCTTCTTCTCTTTCTGTCGCTCTGGTGGACTGCATTTTGTTTAAAAGAATCTAACAGCCTCCATCCTGACTCCCAGTCTCAGTCTCCAGTCCCGGCTTCAAGTAACACCTTGGTCATAGCTTTGGGAAAGGGTGAAGTGTTTTTAGTTAAAAGTGAGATGTGAAGAGGGGAAAATCTGAGTAAAAATAATTGTTTTTGCGGCTTTTCCAGTGCTGAAACAGAATCTCACACACTGGAGAGAACGGATTGAGTGAATTGGAGGATCCAAGCGATCCGTTGCTTATATAAACTCTTTGGGAATTTCCACTCATCCACTGTGTTATTGTGTTTGTGTGTGCAGGAAGAGAGCCACCGCAGAAGAATGCCTCAATCACCCCTGGCTGAACTCCCATCCCCACTCGCACCCGCACCTCCATACGACGTCGGCCTCCTCTCTGGACGAGCCGGAGACGAGCCAGTCGGAGTCGGAGCCCGAGAGTCCTGCTCCGTCGCCCGAGCTGGACCTGATCGGGTCCTACCTCATGTGCCCGGGCCAGGGGGGGCTGAAGGCCGGCCGCGGCGCCTTCTCTTTCACCGAGCCCCCGTTCCGCTCACGGCCCGAAATACAGCAGGAGCTGATCTGCTGACCGATGTTTCCCCAAGCGGTGAGAGACCCGGTGAGCTCGAACTCCACAGCCGTGGATACTGGATGCCGGTCAGCCTGCCTCTTTCTTGGTCCTGTTCAGAACCAGGACTGTGCTCTGTGGCTGCTGTGTGCTTTGGCTGCCTCTGCTGCTGTGATGCCTCTGTGATCGAGTGCTGGTGCGGCTGTGTGTTAGCATCATAAATGCTTCCCTGCGATGATTGGAAATCCTCGCGCAGGAGAAAAATGGGAGAGACGATGCGAAAGGAGTGGACAAACAAGCACACAAGAGCAGTTTTCTGCCTTAAAAGTGACAGAACTGAAGCGGACTCAGCTTTACACTGTGGCACGTTCACCTCTGCATTGGCTTCTTTTTACCCAGTTTGCCATTTGGACTTTCACCAAGGAGAGGTAGCCTCTTCCTTTCTTGAGGAACTATGTCGTTCATCAAATGAGTTGCACTTCAGCTGACTTTACACTCACTTTCTGCGATGAGTTTTATTCAAGAAGGTGGAGGATCTTGAAAGATGTTTCTATTTAACAAAGAAATCTTTTCCGTAGGAAGCACCTATGCCGAAGCCAGATGTTCATTTTTCATTTTATATGTTTATTTATGTCTGTTATGTCACCTCAAACCCTTAAACATTCGAGAGACATAAATGCCTGAGTTTAAAATGTGGTAGCATTGTTTTTTTTGTTTTTTTTAAGGACAATCTTGAGCACTTTTTATTTTGTTGTTAGACTTTGGTGTCATAATGAGAATCTAGACGCTCATCTACCGTCACTGGTTGTGGCAGGATGGGATTCGCATATGAAACGTTATCCACCACCCTATGTTTTTGTCACATGAATTTTGTATCGTAACGTGCCACTTTGTCATCCTCACCTCTGTGTTCAGATTAAATTTGTTCTCTTTCGCACGAGTTGCACAAGATGTTTTGTACTTAACTGTACTTTCATGCTCCTGGTGGAAGCGAGAGGGTCGGAAACAGCAGCTCGGTCTCATTTGCCTTTCTTAGAAACGACAGATCACCACTGTGGACTGACGGCATAGATTTGGATAAATTTGCAACTTTTGTCGTTAGATTTTGAGGAAAGGATTAATCAAAGAAGAATTTCACAAAACAAAGTGTATCATACGAGTTTGTATCAAGATTTGTATGTAAAAGTTGATTTTGTTATTGGCTGGTGTTGTTTTGTTGTACCGGAATATGAATGTTAACACCATTACTTTGTGTCTTATTTGGCATGTTAACTTTTACTCATTGCTGTTGTATTCTTGCTCTTGAATTTCAGGAAGGTTTGCACTTGTCCTTGCGGACATCATGTTAAAAATAAATAAATGTTGATGGCATGCATTGCAAAATGTAACAAAAAATATATGGGCTTTTTGTATCAAACTCTGGTGTCTTTGTGTTTTCACTTTCCTTCTTTATTATTAGTTTTCACAGCACTGTAAGCTATGAAATTCAATATCTCCCACAATGATTCATATCCAAATAACTCAACAGGACAATATTAGAATTGTAATGTTTTATAGCTGTACAAGTCAACCTCATTTAGACTTTTATTTTTTATTTTTTCTTTGGTGGGATTTTACCTGTCAGTTGAGATATATAATTCCAAGAAAATGAGTGGTAGCTTCTTGCTCTTCTCAGTTGTTTCTAAGTTGGATGAATACCAGGAAAACTCTGCATTTGGCCAACAGGTGCTTGATTCCCCTCATTTGAGGGTAATTGCAAGGAAAATACAAATGATTTTCACTGCTAGGGGGGTTGAGTATATTTTTTCTCCCCACATTTATATTTGTTTTTTCTATAACAATGAAAAATAAAAAAGTAAAAATCAACTTGGACAGTACACCGAATAAATGACATCAACCTTCAAAAAAGCATTCTTCACATCCTTTCTCACACTGGCAGTTATTACAATTTATTATTCCATAGGTTTCCTTGTTCAATATTCCAATATGTAGGTATTTATGGTTGTATGCAAACACTGGTGTACGTTTGCATCATCCATCCATCCATCCATTATCAATGCCGCTTATTCCCTCATGGGGTCACGGGGGGAACTGGAGCCTATCCCAGTGGTCAACGGGCGAGAGGCAGGGTACACCCTGGACAGTCCGCCAGTCCATCGCAGGGCCACACACAAGACATACAAGGACAAACAACCACTCACACTCACATTCACTCCTAAGGGCAATTTCCCCAATCTCCAATCAGCCTAACATGCAGGTTTTTGGACTGTGGGAGGAAGCCGGAGAACCCGGAGAGAACCCACGCAGACACAGGGAGAACATGCAAACTCCACCCAGAAGGGCCCTGGTTCCCCCGGGATTCGAACCCAGAACCCTCTTGCTGGGAGGCGACAGTGCTAACCACGACACCACCGTGCCGCCCCGTTTGCATCATATTTCCCCAAATATTTATTTTAAAATAGGAGGTGAAAAGAGGAAAACCCAAGCACGGAAGGATGTTACAGCAGACTTCCACAACACAGCGCACTTTTAGTTGGTCAAACAATAAAATATCCATAATCATGAAGACTGATATCTACAATTAAACATGATTAAAAACAGTAACAGTATTAATCCCTTTCTTTTTCTCCTTGTTATTCACCTTCTCTGCTCCCCTTTTTCTACTTTTTCTGTCCCAAATGGGTCATATACAGATCAATCCATAGTGCTGATTGACAGGCTTGTGTTCACATCCCATCTCTCCTTTTCTGATGATGAACAGGAGTGCCTTTCAGAGAGTATGCCCGTGTTTAACGTTCACCTGTGTGCATTATCAATGGAAAAGAAGATCTTGAACCAAAACAGATCGCTCTGACCAAACTGCTTGCAAAGCATCTGCTTCTCATCTCGGCATGCCTATTTACAGAAACTGAGTATCATAAAGAAAAAAAAGCCCTCTCTTGGGCCAGTCTTCCATAAATATCCAGCCGCTTCTCCGAACAGGAAATGCCAGCATCCTGTTAAGAGGAACCGGGAGAATACTTTCCAGAGTAGTGAGGTTTCTTTTTCTTTCCTTCTGTCTCATGCGCACGCTCCTGTGCTTGTTTACTTGTGTCAGGTTAAACAACATCCTTGCCTGCCAATATCCTGAATTCTTGCTTTAATGTTGTTCTTCCCCTTGTCTTGGGCTCTGAGCCAGCTCAGCTATGCTGCAGCCAGTGAGGAGAGAGCAGGGCTTCCTGCAGGGTCCTGATCCGGTGGCTCTTTGCTGGATGGGCTGTTTCCCCTAAAGAAAATCCCGCTGCTGCATGGAGCCGAGGAATGCCAAAAATGTTCATAACTGGCCTCCTTCCTTTTTTCAAACCTTGTCCTTTATGTCTTTCCCTCCTACCTTCCTTATGGGGTTTGTTTGCTCAGTGGGAGCTGGTATTGTTTCCATTCTGCCGTGCACACACATTCACACACATATGAAGTCAAAGAGGTGGTTGATTAGGTTATTGTTGCTTTGAATAACACTCAAGATAAGCTCATGTGACTTTGATATTTAGGGTTTACTAATGGAAGATTATTTGAGACAGATGCAGACTCGTAACTTTGTAGTTTAAAACGCCACTCAGGTCCCACAGGTCCAAAAATCCCCCAAACATGCAAGATAACCTGCTCCCCTCAGTCTCTTTGGACTGAAACTAAGGTCTCGCTTAATGGTTTTTTAAAGGTTATCTGGCCGCAAATATTTCTTTCAAACATCCCAGTGAGGCACATTACTGAGCAAATTCCATTAGTCTCTCTTGAAACTGTGAAACAACAGTCAAAGAAGAGATAACATTAAGATAACAATTAGTGTTTCTCCTCACATTGTACACAAAGGCCGGGAGCTCGATGTTTCTGCTGCACACAGTCAGGTTTCATGTGAAGCCAGCCCACTGCACAACCCGAGACAAGTGCCTCCTGCAGACTCTGATCCCTCAAGGTTTGGTGTGGAATTTTAAGATGTAAACCTCTTAGGAAGGTGGAGTGGCTGAGCTCAACTCAACAGATAAAAAAGATCAGTTATATAAGAAGGATTAATGATAGGAGGGTGCCATTTTCAAAACTTATCTGGTCAATGAGTCATTCACAGCTCACAAAGATTTGTTTATGTAAAGCGTTTCTCCTCATCATAGTCAAATGTTGTATGTCATTTCAGCGGATGAGGAGAATATGAGTCGGTAAGGTCTAAAATAAAATATGAATGCTTCATAAGGCTGTTAGTTGACTAATTCTTTCAAATATTTCATGCAGAAGCTAGGCATAGCTTAATCGAATATACCGGCGAGGACCTAATCTGAATTGTTCATTTGTTTTCATCCCAAATCAGCTGGGTGTTACAGTAGTTTTGTCAGGAGAGTCTGTTTTTATACCCCATCCTCGTTCACAGTTCTCACATACCAGGGATTGTTCTCTCAAAGCGTGGAGCTTCAGCTGGGTAAGTGAGGCAGCAGATGCCAGGCCCTGAGCGGCTGGCCTTTGTTTGGCTAGGCAAGCCCACAAGTCCCAGCACACGGCCTGTCACCTTTTTCCAAGATGGAAGCCAGCAGTGCATCTCTAATATTTCTAAAAAGTTAGAAAAGATGGTGCTTGACCATCACTTGTCTGCATTCAGCTTTGTAAAGTTTTGCTGCCTTTTCTTTACAGTTATTCTGTTGTTTGCTTTTCATTTGAGTGAAGAAGAATTTTGGATCATTGATAAGTACTGGAAAGGGACTCTGACATCTCTGAATTCCAACTTACCAGAACACTGTTTTTTTGCACTTTTCCACAATATGAAGCTGAAAAATTTTTACAATTTACACAAAAAAAAGTTTCTACACCGTTGTCCATTCATATTTGGAATTTATAAGTGCTAGTTGATGTTTACAGCTGAAATCGTATTAAAAACTCTGTCTCTGCTGGTCGTCTGCAGAGACAACTCAGTTCTTTGGGACACTGAAGCTCTTCTTGAAGTCCCCCATATATTTCTGCCACCCTGTTGCTTGTATGCTTGGCCTGATTTTTTGTCTTTAATAATACATGAAAGGAATATTCCCAGCTGCTCATGTGGAATTCCTCCGTGACCTCTGGCCTTCATATGTCCCTTTTTTTGCCGTGGTTTAGGCCACTCTGTCTCTCTCAATCTTGCAAAGTTTAGATCATTTTCCGCGCACAATTTCTTTTCCTTCACACCTTGCATAATGAGAAATTCCTTTGCACTTACGTGCCAGATTAGACTGCCGTTATGAGTCCACGTGTGAAAACATCACCTCAAAATGTATGTGTGGGAAAAAATCTCCATCTTCCTGTGGTCTACTTTTCTTTTCCTATCATTCCTGTCTAACTTTTCTATGCTTAATAACCTCCGTTACATCATAAACCAATGTATGAATAGTTCATATCAATATATCTTCTTGTTAGCATGTTCTCAGTGTGTGACGTCACATTTAAATGCCTGAAAAGCATGAAGACTTTGACCACCAAAACAGTTTTGATGTCAGGCTGAGCTCATAAACTCTCCTTACTTATTCATTTAATTGTTGTGTCAACCTGAAGCACTCGGTAAAAACTTTTCTAAGAATCCACATTAAGTGTTCTTTAAATCCATGGACTGTGCGTTCTATCAGGCTGATGATATCAGTAGCTGGTGGAAATGGACTTTAAGGGGGAAAACCTTGACGGTCACCTGACATGGTGCGTCTCAGCTCCAAATTCCTTCAATATTTCCCAGAAATAAACACAACTGTGACAAATCAAAGCCTGCTTGAAATTCTTTATGTTGTAGAAGTGGACCAGGACAAATAATGGAGAACATTTATTTCACGTGTCCCAGATGCACTAGCAAAAAAAAAAAAAAACAGGAGAGAGAATCTCCACAACAGGAAAAACACTGGTAATCACTGGTAATATGTTTCTCATGGTGTTGCATTCATACCAGTGAGGGATGCAAATGCCTTTGGTTAAGCAGGGCTATTTATTTTGTCCTTGGAAACGGATGAGGAACAACAAAGGCATTCTCTCAAAGAGTAGCCTGCCCGACCTGATGCTGCCGCCTGTTTTCCTCCCATGCGGTGGCTTTCCCCCCCCCCCTAGCGCGGAGGCACCACAGTATCCAGAAAGCCGCACAATTGGCCCACTCACCTCCGAGAGAACTTTTCAACTCGGTGACTGGCGAAGAAACCCAAGCACAACAAGGGACACTGCTAAGTTAATCCTCTAAAGGTTCAATTACAGTGTGTGGGTAAGCTCACGGAAAAAAAACAATAACGCTGCCAGTTTTGTTGTTTGGATTTGCAGGCACATGAATACTCACTCATCCGCACTGTTCCCCACACACACTCACCAGAGCACCCGCAGTGAACCCCCTTCCATTAAAAGCTTTTTACAGGGAGTCTGTTTCAGAGTGACAGGGTTACGGAGTTCTGGGCCTTTTTTAATATTCAACTAGAAGAGTCCCAACAGACCTGTTGTAATTTGGTGCACACACATACACAAACATAGGCTTTTTAGCCATCAGGCATTGGCTTTTTAAGAACACCTTTCTTTATATTCTGTCGTATTTTTAATTCGAAATTACATTTATTCATCGGTTGGTACATTTCTGTGAGTTTTGTCGAGACCTTAAAAAGCGGAGGGGAGCAAATATGGAACACTTGTCGTTTCTGTGCCAGCTGGAATTTCTTCAAAGTTTCCTGGAGCCAGGACCAATTAATTAGTCGAAAAGTCAGCTGTCACATCTTTTTTGCGTGACTGCTCCATGTTTTTCTTGTTCTGGCTTCTCCGTCCTCTGGTTTTGGAGTTATGCAACTCTCATTCGCAGAGGTATGAAACCTGTTTGTATGCTCAGCATTGTCAGTACTGTCAGATTACCATATTGTCTCAAGCTCCTTGATGTAATCGGCCAAATCAGTGTAAGGAAAAAAAAGAGGCTGGAAACAATAGCTGAGGGTGAGACAGGTCGTGGAAAACTGTTTGAAGAACAATGTTGTCTGGAGACATGGTGCTAAAAACTCAGCGGCAAGTAAAGGAGTTGTTAATGTTAATCCTTTTGACAAGAAAGTCCTCCTCTGGTAAAAGAAACACAAAAAAAACATTTATTTAACAGTATGAAAATGTCTGGAAAGCTTTTGCTGCGTGTTACACAACATATATGATAAATAAATGTGGACATAAATCGTTTGGCTGCTGATTTATGTTGGAGGACCACTTAGATCCTCTGAAGGATGAGGTCAGACATACTGTATGTCCAAGTGGATACTCTAAGGAATCAATCTTGACCACATAAGACGTTGTACAGTTCATTTACGTCCATAGCATGGAAACAATGAAACAAGGAGCCAGCAAGCTACGGATATTCAGTGAAAGCCAGTTTTAGAAGTGCAAGTAAGTGGAAGTGCACAGCCAGGCCTCTGGGCTGCATTATGTGCAACCTATGGGCTCCACGAGTGCCTGACAAAGAACCCAGAGCTAAATACAGATGTACGAGACACCTTCATCCAGGTCGTTCAGCTAAAGTTGATTGTAATGTTCAGTTATCCATGATCTTTTCGGCTTTTCTCGCTATATCATTTAGAAATGTAATTGTGTTTCTATAAAGACACATTTATATCTCTGGTGGATGTTTTTTAATCTATTTTTGTGTTGGTGGACTCTCAGTAAAAGTATTCCGTATTCAGGATTCAGCTTTGGGATGGTAAGAAGAAGCTGGAGTGTCCGGATAGAGGTCATGTATATACGAAGAGAAAAAATATGACCTTTCTGTTTAATAACAGTCATTTATTTACTTTCTATGCAAGATTATGTGTTATTTAATAACAGTGATTTATGTGCCAATAGAAAATTCGCACAAAAAGTCATTAAAAATGGTTTCTGATTTTTCCATTTTCGTTAATGCCACAAGTTACATAAGCAGTTTGTGAGTACCTTGTCATTTGTTTGTCTGGAAATTTAAAACTGGGCATGAAAAGATGTGTAGATGGAAACCAGAGGAGGAAAAGGGAAACATCAATATTATTCCACAGCTTTCATGTACCATTAAAAAAAATCCTTCTCGTGAGTCTGTCATCACACAAAGATGTACAAGATGTTAAAGTCACGCCAGCAAGGATCCAGAGTCGAGAGACATTCCATAGTTTGAGCTCTTCGGGCTGCACAGAGTGCATATTAGTGTAGCTGTTTCTAATTGACTGATACAATACCATGGTGTCCTGTTTTTCTGTACCTAGATCAAGAAGACACCAAGGCCTGTAGGGTTAGAACAGCTGCAATAGCATTTCTGTTATCCCAACCAAAAATCTACTATAACCTTCCACAAAAAGAAAAAACAACATTCCCAAAGACAGTTTTCTGCCAAACTAAAGTGCACTCTGTGTTTGCCTTAGATAAAGAAGCACAATAATAAGTCCGCTCTCATTGGGATCTTTGCTTTCAAACAACAGAGTTAAAGTCCCTGAAAGTGTAAACACTGCAAGATTTCTGGGGCTCTTATGCAAGCCTGCCTTCACCCCGGGTTATCCATGACACACTGGGAAATATCAAATTAAATGAGCTTTTCAAAGAAAAAACTCTAACGTAAATACAGTGCTCTATTATTACCCTGGGCCGTAGTAAAGCGGACGCCCGCCCTTGAAAAAAACATGTGACTAGAGAACATGATGTTCCTTATCCCAGAGAGGCTCAAGATTTTTTTTTTTAAGATAGGCCTCCCAAGTTGCCACAAGGAAGAGATGCTGTTTTAGACTTTGTGTTGGCAGCAACATCACAACTATGCTCTGCTTTTAATTTCCTACAAGAACTTCATCTTCATTGAGCAAAACAAACTTAGTAAATCTGCTGAAGTATAGTGTTAAACAAATAGAGAAAACTACTTTGTTTTCTAATAATACTACTAACCTTATAATAAGAATAACCTTGACTCCAAAACCAAACAATAGTTTAATCAAGATTAGCCCATTTTTAGCAACTTTATTCAATGTGTGCACATTTAACCAACTAAACTGTACCTTTTCCAATTCTGTTCATTCAGTCATAAATACAAGAACTTCTGCCACCTCTTTGTTCTGTAAAGGTACTTTATCGTACAGCCAAATGATCACTTTTGAGAGTCATTAAGTCAAACAAGTGCTTTAAAATGGGCGGGATATGAATAGGCCCTTCTATTAGGACTTGTAATAGTTTTGATTGAGCAAACCCAGTCAATCATACTCAGTGACATGTGTAAGAAAGAGGCCGTTATGCACAAAGTACATAAACACGCTTTGATTTCCAATTCAATCCGTGAGTTCTTTTATGCTTCCCTGATAAACGGTCAGTGTTCCAGTTCTGACTCAAAGGTCAACAGCTAGGTGGGAAATCCAAACAAGTCATTCATCAGAAAATGAGGGTTTTATTAGCATTCATAACCCGGACGGGGTTTTTAATTCCAGTTTTAATTTAAAAATGCAGCTGCACATGCTGGTAAACAGCACCATCAAGTGGGGTGCAAACACAGCCACCATGCAGAGACACAGGGCCAGCATTTTCTAATTCTGAAACTATCAAATCATTTCAGTATTCCTGATTATGGCTTTTCACATCCATAAAAAACTAAAGGTTTGAACTGGAAGAAGTTTTCCAACCATCGTTTAATAATTTCCTCAAATAATTCCTCATAGACGGGATAACTGTGTCTTGTCTAACTTTATATTTACAATGAATTTCACATTTAAAAAGTCATAAAATGTCTAATAATAATAATAATAAGTAGCTTTAAAAGCAAGTTGAATTCTGAGGAGAGGGTTTAAAATGTGAACTGCGAAATGCAACACATCTTTTACTAATTTCACTGGAAATAGAGGGAAAAAAAACACAAAAAGTCAACTTAAACCAGCTCTTTCCGCTTTATTGACAAAGAGGTGCACAAAATATTAATATTGGTGGTTGACCATTTTGTGCAAATAAGTCAAACATGTCTGTTGTAAGCTGTTCTTTCTCCCTTCTAAGTGACAAAACAATATCAGACAAAAAAAAAAAGAAAAGAGTTAGGAACCAGAATCAGAACAAGTGGGACGCTGTCAAGTGTGCTGGATTGTTACAAATCATTCACATGCGATTCATTTTAAGACTCCCTTTCTTATTCCTTCATGTAGATGAAAAGAAAACCAAGAAAAGGGATTAGCGGCTATGCTGGAGCATAACAGAATAATAATAGTCAGGTTATCTTCATTTTCAAAGAAATGACCAGCATCCTGATTAAATTTAAGCTGAATTCCCTTTGGAGCTCTATAACTGTGCAACATGCAAAGTGTGGGTTTTTGTTTTGGAAATTAAACGGATGAGCTGCTCTGTGCACATCTGGACTACTGCTGAAGAACGAGGTTGAGAAGACAAACATGAACACAGGAAAAACACGTATTCAGTAAAGACATTTGAACAGCTCGGATTTTTACATTAAATCAGTTTTGCCACAGTTTGTGAGAAAAATAGCAGGTTTCATATAGAGAACAATGCATAAATAATGATAAACTAAGTACAACTAAATAAAATAAAAAAGACTCACCTAAGACAAGACCAAAGACATCAGAGACCACAAAGGCTATACTGAGGAATGACTGAATTCACATTTCTTTTTAAATGTATGCTCCTGATGACAGGAGAGTCATTAACAGAATAATTATTATAAGATGTGGAAACTTAATAACACAAACAGAAAGAAGAACAATCACAATACAACACAGACTGTCAGAGAAAGAGTTATTTCAATCCTCAAATCTCCCATCCAGGATGCTTTCGAAGGTAAAAGGGAGGAACTTGAAGCCCTGCCCTACGTAAAACTTGTTTTGGAACTCCACCCTGTGGACAAAAAGGATAAAGAGTAGAGAGCTGTAAATCAGGGGGCTTTTCAGAAAGGCACACTGTGACGCCATCTGCTGGGGTGAAGCTCAATGGAGCAGTCGCCTCTGAGGAACCAGCGCTAAGTTCCAGTTTACAACCACCTGCACTCATTCAGGTTTACACCTGACACCCGACACCTAAGCCGTTCTGCCTCAGGAAGACGATCGGGATCTATTTTTAAAGCTGCAGCGCTCAGTGAGGCTGGCTGACCTTTCAACTACAAGTCATGAATAGCTGTCAACACACAGCCTGTGTGGTGTCGGAAAGCAGAACAAGCAGGTGTGGTAATTCAACAAAACGGTTCAAACTGACTGAGTGCTTTTTGCGTCTAAAGTCTCCAGGCGGCCGCCATCGCAGCAACAGTTTCTAAAGTCTCATGGCAAAAAAGTAGTAGAGGGATTTTTTAATGTGTTCACTGGGAAGTATATAAAAAAAAGGAAAAAAGACCCAAACTGACGCTTTAGATATTCAGTTTTCGTATTCATGACCAATCACGGGTTTGAAAACTAAGCTGAAACTACTAACAGTATCAATGAATTCACCTGAACAATAATCTAACCCCCTCTTATCTATACAGGTGTCTGCAGGCTGGGAATGAGATTGTTGGCTGGATAAAAAATGTTGTGGCCAGCAGGTGGAGCTGCAGCTTTCCATGGCTGGGAACTGATTCACATCCTTACAATTTAAGATGACTCGAAAATGAAATGATTAATTAACACAACATTTGCGAATGGGAGATGTCTTTAGAAAGGCAGCTCAAAGTAACGGTTAGGACAAAGCCCAATATGCACATGTGCAAAGATAACTGAACTTACCAGTGCAGTCGCAGTGCATGCAGGAAGGCCGACAGGCCTTCCATTATGAGGAGAATGGCAACTGTTAGCACAGCGAAAAAGGAAAAGATAATTGCAAGAAGGATGAAGCCTCCAAAGCTTCTGGAAGACAGGCCAAGGCGCATCACCATGGACCACAGCACCTCTGACAGCTCTGTGCGGGAGACAAAGAACGGTCACCTGAATTTTTCACTTTAGACAACCTTAGAAGTGCAAGCTTAGAAATGTGAGTATAACATCCCATTTTCATTAAAAATTAATTGCAGACATTGTTGCTGGTGTGTCTTACGGGCATGAGCGAGACTCAGGGCCCAAAGCCTCAGGTAGGAGGCGGTGTTGGAGATGCAGCCCAGGCAGTACTCGATGGTGTGGATTGCCTGATGCACGGCCGTATCCGCAAAGTTAAACTGTGGGGAGCAGAGCAGCATGTCAGCACCACACCACGACAGAACACGGCTCCACAACCGATCCTGAGGATGACGGGGGTTGACCGGTTCACTGCGTGTGCATGATCACAGGGTTAACGGACAGGAAAGCCATCAGGTCAGAAAAGCCCAAATTAGAAGAAGCGTCGTTTTCTCAGGACGCTGTGAACCCAAAGTTATCTGCGCTGCTGACGCTTCATGCACATCACCGACACCACAGTGAAGCTCTCTTCCAACTGACGGCCCCTAGCGGGACAAGAAACACCTGGAACACCTGGAAAACCCTGACCGCACAGGCTCGCTAACACAATCACACCCACGTTCAGACACAGCTAAGAGCAGCAGGCGGTTGCTGACAACAAAGGGGAGGGGGGGGCTGTTAAAGAGAATTGCTACACATGCAGGGATAGGCTTGCAGGGTGAGCTCCTGTCCTACCTCTTCCTCCTCATGGGCCTTGAAAGCAGGTGACAAAAGGCAACGCTTGGTTATTGACAACACAGACATGTGGACAGACAAACATCAGTGACAAGAAAGTAACAAAAGAAACCAGTTACTCATTTATAAAGACACAGTGAAAAGAAGCATGTGGTACAGGGTACTCTGCTCACACATACAGACGGATCCGGCCATGTTCACGCCACATAACTAGTTAGTCTTAGTTTAGCTGTGTACAAGAGTCGGCGTCTGTTTGAAAGCAGCCTTGAGGAACTCTGTAAGAACTGGGGAGGTCACATGCATATTTACAAATCAGACAAACAGGATCATTTTAAAACTGATCCGTCTAATTTAGTAGTTGAATGGTTCTTGTAGGTAAAGGAGAAGTAGAGGAGCTGACACCAGACACAGAGTGGCTAAATTATTCAAAGATGTTCAAGATCCTGTAACCCATTTTTCCCTTCAGCTGCCTTCACCACCTGCTGGACTGTTCCTTCTCTCTCTTTTAAGTTAATAGACAAAAAACTGTGACGTTTAGAGGCCTGATGTTGGTGTTACTGAGAAAAGAGCGTCTCTTTACCTCAGGTTCATCCTCAGTCTGCTGTGAGAGCTGGTCATGCTGGATGATCTCAGCCTCGTCCTCACTGGGACCATTGCCCACCCTGATTCCTCCAAAGTTCTGTGTGCCCTGTCAGAGAAGACGAACAAAACAACACCATGAAATGAAGAAATAATCAACTGTTGTGCTAATAACCACAGCTGACTGTAACGTTCCACAGAGAGAAAGAGGAAGCTTATTTGTATCATCTTACCAAATGTTTCCGCCACAAATGCTGTCTTCTCAGAACCAGAGTTTTAACTATTAACATACAAGGAACACATGCCAAGGCAATTATCACCAAAAGGGATTGTAGGCCCATCTGTAGGAAAGCAAAAGAAAACATTAGAAAAAGAGAACGTTAGCATCTTAACGTTTAAATCTTAACAATGTAACAACAACTCTGACCTGTCCTCTGTAGAGAGGCTTGTTAGTGGGGTCACTGTAGTTGAACAGGAACATGTTGATGAAGGCTATGAGGAGACTGGGAGCATCCCTGGAGGTGCGTGCGTCATAAGAGATCCACTTATAAAAGATCAGAATGACCAGGTAGCCGAATAGACTGGCCATGAAGACAATCTCTGGAATGAAACCCAAGTAGATATTCAAAGGCTTTTTGAAGTACCTGCAGAGATCCACAGAAAAGCTTAGTCAGCATGTTACCCAAAAACGTGACAGAGGAACTGTTATCTTAAATACCAGAGCTGAAAATCTCACAGGTGGTTGAAGAGACTAAGAGTTACTCCAAAGAGCATGTGGATGACTCCCAGGATCACAGACATTTTCATCTTGAAGGAGTTCAAGAATGTCAGCTTGTTAACAGAGATGCTCCATATCTGAGAAGCAAAGAGAAAGTTTCACAGCATTTCAAAGTATGGTCAAAATTATGTCTGTACATTAGCTCGCTGCAACTATTTAACTATACTTATTTATGTAAATACAGACAGAGTTAACAAAATATTTACCGGATCTATGCCAATGGGGTACGGCCCATTGAACACCCCCGTTATGGCCGGGTCCAACTGCAAAGCCGAGTTACCTGTGAGTGTGTCGAACCTGAGGGGGAGACCATAGATATGTTCTGGATACGGCACACAGATACAGCAGCTGCTGGTTAGACTCATGTTATGGTGGCCCTCATGTGCAGGGGATTCAGATGGTACAACTTAATTCCAACAGTGAGAAAATGTACAACTTTACTGGCATTAAAACAGGATGTTTTTCTCATTAATGAGAACTTTGGTTTAGAGGAGGCCTACAGCAGATCAAAGGCTAGTAATAATTCAGTGGATAATTCAGGCACTGCAGAAGCAGGTGAAACTTACGACCAGTTTCCTCCTCTTTCTCCAAACATAGGTCTGACGCTCCACCCAGAGCCAAAGACATTTAGGGACTTGGAGAAGCAGTCATTGTAAATAATGCCAGTGTACATGGAGAAGATGCCCATCAGCAGGATGATGTAACGCCCGGCAAACACCATGGTGAATATCTGCCACAGGGAAACAAATCAGCAGATTATCTATTTTAGGAGGAAAATGAGCACATGTCTGGGAACAGGTCAACTAAAGCCTCTGGGTTCTTTAAATGCCTTCAGCTATAGGCTCAGGATTCATGAATGATGAGCAGGGATAGAGCAGGATTAATGTGATGGCTACCATGGGATCCATACCTCATTATCATTCTTCTGGGCCATCAACCTGCTCTCTCTCAACACAAAGTACAAAGCAGCACAGGTCATGAGTGTGCCATGGCCCAGGTCCCCGAACATGACAGCAAATAGGAAGGGGAAGGTGATGACAGTGTATGGTGCTGGAAACAAGGAGATGATGGGACATGAACACATGTCAGCAAGCATTTTACAACAGTGTGACTATGGATGAGCAGGCAACTGAGAACAATGACGAAATGAACACCACAGCCAGCTGGGTAAACAACTTCCATCCATTATTGCTTATTCCTGGTAGGGTGGGTAAACAACTTAAACAACAATGCCCACATGGATGATCTATTGATGACAGACAGAAACCTGAAGGTTACAAACTGGTTTCAAAAGCATAGCATGTGCTCACCTGGGTTAATCTCACGGTAACTCCCAATTCCATAAGCATCTACGATGTTTTGGAAGCCTGAGGTGAACTTGTTGGTCTTGTTATATGTGGGCGGGGTCTGTTTGGTTTGCATTCGGTTCAGGATGGAAGGCACAGTGGAGCCGCTTTTTTCCTAAAATGAAGAAACAACATGAAACAGGACTTTAAAACACACCTGAGCTAATTTTCACACCTGAAACCATTGTGAAAAGAACTCAGGAATTCTAGAGCGCTGCATCTACTCACATGTCACTGAGATGACTGAATACTTTCCATTGAGCATGTGACAATTCAGCTGATTTATCAGTTACTATCTCACTGAATAACATGACTTAACACCAGCAAGACTTTATCTCCAAAAGTTAAATGCTTAAAGGTCATTTGGTTCAAACAAAGAGTTAAAAGGAGAGTAAAGCCTGAAAAAGTCCACTTTGATGTTGTAGAACCAGAGATTCAAAGATATAAACCCTTTTAATAGCTTGGCTGCTAGCTGGCATTAGCCGTGTGGTGCTTGGCAACTCACCGTCCCCCTTCGCAGGGCAAACTGGATGGAGTCCATGTCAGAGACGGGACACCACACTTCCGCTATCAGACACTTCTGAGTGACATCTATGTTGCAGAGGTTGAGGGTGTGGTAGATGGCCTTCATCTTCCTCACTTTGATGAACCACACCCTGACCGTCTTAGCTGCCGCCTGCAGGACCCTCTGCCTGTGATCCTCAGTCTGGTTCAACACCTGACAAGCACACGAGAGAAGAGGGGATGCTGGTTGCTGGGAAATATTTCACGCCGTTTATCTGTCCTGTGTTGCACCTGAAGACTTTTTAATGATGGGACTGACGGAACAAAGTAATGCCTCTAAGATTTTCTATACTGTGCAGAATGATCTAATAGACAGCTGCTATGACAGCATCCCTGTTATGATAAAAGGTATTAATGGAAGATTTTACTGAATAAACAACCACAAAGCTGTGCATCAGACAACTTGTTTCCAGAGCGATTAAATCCAGAGAGCAAGGCGTGTTTAGTCTGTCGGCGAACTAGGAACAATGTTTACCTTTACTGATAAGTATTATTAACGTTAGAATCTCTGGAAGCAGAAGGTCACACGCTCAGTATCCAACTCTGCTTGTAAAATAAACAAAAAGCACAGCGTGTAGAAAGCAGAAACCAAAAACCCAGGAACCTAAGTAAATCTTTGAAATTAGCTATATATTTCTTAATAATCACTATTACAAGAACAATCAAGAGGGTTGGGAAACAGCCTGCTTAATCCCCTGGGTGTTCCCATTAAGAGCTACATGATATTCTAATGTATACTTCTGACTCATATTTCAGGCTAACCCCTGATCAGCAAATAGCAGGAAATATAAGCTCTGTGCTGTTTGCTCACAGTCTCATCCACTGTCGACGTGATGCCCAGACACCGCTGTCTACCGTCCAAACAGCTTTACACGTTTCCACAGAGCCAAATGACAACAAGCACCACACGAAACCCACAAACACCACCACTCCCATTCACAGCATACAGATCCCTGAGAGGGGAGCAGTTCATGTGTCATGGCAGATACACGTTCAGTATCTCACACTTCGTGTCATGCATGTCTCTGTGGTCAGCAGTCAGAATATGTGATGCCACATAGGCACTGATGGAAAAAAAATACTTTCAGAGTTGTAACTCAGACTTTAGGAAACATGAGATAAAACCTGAGTGCAAGAATTATTACAAGAAAAAGATACAAGGAGGTGCTGTAGAAAGAGCCCTCCCCTGGACAGAGTAGGTAACATGGAGAACTCCACGCAGAGCAAAACAAGAAGCTGTGTAATTCATTTTAAACTGCGTTTACTGGTTTAGAGGCTATTCTAAAATATTAAGTAAAAAAAGAGAAAAGACATTTCTATTTTTATGCTGACTGCCTTAAACTGAAGCCTAAAAAAGAAACATCTTCTCCCCGATTTCTTCCTGATGCGATTTATCTGCATGTCAGTGTAAAAAGGTCTGCGGCGTGTAGCCGTTCATGTTTAGTTACCATCTGCAGGTCATCAATCCGAGCATTCACCCCTGCCAGCATCTCTTTCCTCTCCTGGGGGGTTTCAGGACAGGGGTACAATGTTGCTCTGAATCTGAAGACAGAAGAGGGACAGACAAAGACCAGTTGGTGGTGAAAACTCTGCACGGGGCGGACGCTGTCTGATCACTTACCCCTCACAGATTTTCTTAACTCTATTCTTCAGCTGGTCTCCCTGGAAAAATATGATGAAGACGGACTTGTGGACTTGGTCGCCCTGTGAAACACGTTTGGACGACAGAAATGTTAAACAGTGATATTTGTCTTGTTTAGTTGTGATAGAGTGTTGTTTGTGAACAGCACTGACTGTGGTTGGGTCTTCCAGAGGATCTTCAATATCAGCCTGCCGCAGGAACACATTTCCTCTGCAAACTCTCCATAACATCCTCTCAAATGTGGGAATCCGCTCCCTTCCGATGACTCCAGCTACAAATCTAGAACAGAGAGGAAGGGAAACATCAAACAAAAATGTAAGACAAACGAGTTTTTACAATACAGAAGATTTTTACTCAATCATCATTTGATTCCTTTATAAGAAAAGGCTGATAAGAATGTTATTTGTCTCTACAGACACAGCCTTAGATGACCTTCACTGTCTGACTAAACTGGACTGCCTGAGCTCTGGTGTGGGAGGGGTTGAAAGAGTGCAGAGCTCCAGTTACAGAATCTAATGGTCAAAGTACACAGGATGGACACATCCGAGGACACATCCATTTCTTTTAAATGACAGAGATGAACAGAGCACACTTACCCTAATCTGAGTGGAGCCACTCTGGCAGGCTCATTGGGGTCCAGAAGAGTGGAGGACTCCTCCAGTAAACTGGGATCCTCCATCTGAACAGCAGCATAACAAATGATTAACGGCGTAAAATAGACAGAAAGCGCTGCTGCAGCTGTGCTGCTTTCTGCCTTAATAAACACTTATGACACGTCAGAAAGCACAGATGTTTTGTTCCTGTTATTCTTTTAGCCAAAAACTGATCATTAACTAAAGTTAGTGCCTCCTTCAACCATAAACAGCTCCTCTTCAGTTAATGGCTGAACTGCTACTTAGTTGGCTAAATGATTCACCTCAATCGAGGCTCATAACAACTTGTAAAAGACGTGTAAACATTGAGGAAGGGCCTTAATTTGCTTGTGAAGGCAGCTGATCGGAGTTGATGTACGGACAAAGGTGGAAGGGAGAGTTACTCTGGGCGGGAACTGTGTCGACTCAAACTGGAGGAATGGATTGAACAGCAGTGGACTCTCAGCACTCGGACAAATGGATATGACTCGTGTAAACATACTACAGTCATGTGAGCAACTACGAAAGATCAGCTCTGGCAAAAACGAGAGGCAAAGAGTCATCTTTTGTGCTTCTATTAGAGAGCTGTGAATAACACAGAAAGCCAAAGACAGCTGAGTTTAGACACTAAATATATTCTGTACAGTTCAGATCTGATCTCACTGTAACATATAAGATACGTTTTTATTTTTAAATAGCTGTGTGTGGTATTTTCAAACATAACTGCCACAGACTTAAAACCAAAGAGTCAGTACAATGTTTTCCGTGGGCTGAAAGATGCTGACCTCATCGAAAAACTGCTGCGTGCGACGCAAAATGTGCTTGAGCTCAGTCAGTTCCAGGAAGTTCTTCTTTAGGGCTTCTTGGTTTGTGTTAATTTCCTTCAGTTCATTCTCAAGCTTCTCAAATGTGGCCTGAAGGAGTACAAATTAAACACAGAAAAGAAGATCAGGTCAGCAGAGGAAAGCGGGGGACGGAGCTTCAATTTGAACGGGCTTTAACCCTAAAATAATCACCTCTAGGTCAATCATGTCCCTCGGAAAAGGTACTTCAGGGTTTTCTCCGGTGTCAACGACAGGAATGTTGGCCTTCTTAATTTCTTTTTCCACAAATCCTGTGAAGGAGAAATTCACCTCATAAACAGTGTTTTCATGTCAATATCCAAATAATTAGAATTCATCCAACCTGGCAACTCTGCCTTACGCATGCAGAATTCCCATAACAGAAAAGATTAGTTAATTCTCTTTAGGAGAGATTTCCCAGCTCTCTTACTCAGTTTACGATCCATTTCCTCACATCGTCGCACCTCATTCACAAACTTTCGCTGGAACACATTTACATCAGGATTCAACTGCAAAAAGAAGGAAAATATGGCTGAGCAACAAAGATATTTTTGGCTCAGAAGAAGTGAAGCAATGACTTAAAGATCACATTTCTTCTATAAAGTGCTTAAAGTTCCCTTCCTAAAATCAGTCATAATATTCGCTTTCATGGTGAAAGATATCGAGAGAACAATGTGCCTGCATGAGTAAGATACCGCTGCTGATGCACAGAACCTTCCTGTTACAACCCACCCTATGTTCAGGCACAAAGCTCGCCTTGGGAATACTCAGGAATAAGCTGGAATGAAGGGTCAGCTGGGAGCACATGATGCAGAAGGCACGCACTGCCTCAGCAGCGGAACCGATGTGGCAGATCCGAACCATCCCAACAATTAACAACGCTTTCCTTTATTTATTTCTCGTTCAATTCAAACACAGGTAGTATTTGTGCAGAGCAAAAGCTAGACATATTGAACTATGGCGTAAAGGACATCTGGACCAAAGTGGACTTACGTCCCGAAACTGCACCATCCCAATCTCTCCCAGCTCGCTGACACAGCAGTAGGCAGCTTCTGACTGGAGGAAGAGTTGAGCCAGCGTCATCTCTTCACTCCTGAAGAGTTCTCCCATCTTGTTGATGGACGCAGGTCAACCTGAACCTAAAGAAACTGAACATTGATTATATTCATTAGTGACACTCAGGTGTGATCTAAAGATCTGAGAGGTTTGGCATTCATCACTTTTCTGCGTACGCCACCCAGGTGTTAATATCACTAATGATGGAGGTCTCGGTTACAGTAATGTGTTAGTTCAACACCAGGGCGAGAAGTCAGCATGTGACCAAAGAAAAAAAGAACAGAAAATATCAGCAAAGCCTTGAGGTGATCCCATGATTGCTGCAGGAATGTGAAAAAAAAAGGTTATGGTAAAGCAATCTGATCTGTATATTTTTAATATAACCAAACCATTTAAAAGTTGGACTTTGCTCTTATAAAGATATAATCCACAGGCAAACAGACAAAGTGGCATAATGCAGCTTTTTACGTCAACAATGTAACTTAAAAGGCAGGATTTCCTGAATATCTTGGCGCTAAGCACACCACAATTTCCCACTGTGAAACGACCACACAGGGCTAATCTGAGGATTACAAGGCAGCATGTGACCAGCAGCTCGTATAAGCTCCAGCAGCTCCATCAACGCTGGGTGCACCAGCAACTTTGTAAAGCAGCAGAACCCCACCTTCCAGCTCAGCGGCTAACCTGTCAAACGGCCGCTGTCACCACGTTAAAGAGCCCCCAGTTGGCAGACTTCACCTGTCACAGCTGAGCATCACAGAGGGCCAACAGGTCCTCCGTAGACCAAAGCGATGACTCACATTCACAGCCACTTGGGACTCCGTTTTAACACCATTCGGTAGTTTAACGCAAAGATAAAGACCGTCATTAACTCGCCAATTAGAACGAGTTGAAGCTGGAAGATCGATATCAGCGTTAGCTAATGCTGGCACTCAGAGAACGCGTTTATGTGCCACCGAGGAACACAACAAACACACGACAACAAACTCACCAGTGAGGTTTGAATGTCCTTTTTACACCGGATTGCTGCTTAACTAGTTATCCCACTTTACCCCACAGTCAAAGCTAACTAGCTCCGTTTACACTTTGAGTGGGGCTAACACCAATTTAGCACACCTGCTGATCAACACTCAGCTCGGTCAGTTTACAAAAATACTACCACCGACGGATTAAAACATATTCAAACGGCTTCATAGCCTCACTTTTTGGTGTCCTTCGAGTCCTGGTACAGACTCTCGCCCCCTCTTCTGATTTTGCTTCCTCAGTTCCCTCTTGGCTACTTGTTGCAGACTGCTCGTTGGTTTGGGCGTCAAGTAAACTGTGTAACAACCTCCCAAAGCGGAAGTATCGGAGCAACGCTTATCGATCCATGGGTGCACAAGTCATGTGACCACTCAAAACGAATTTTGATTGGCTTGTAGTCTCTCTCTGAACCCGTCGCCCTGCTCGGCAGGAGGATTATGCTGAAGATCCATGGCGGAAACTGTTAGCGTAACGTTGTCTGCCTTCATAAAAGGACACTGACGTCAAAAAGTAACCATATAAGAAATGTTCATTTGGTTTACTTTTGATGGGGGATTATCAAAAAGACACAGAAAATAAAAATAAAAGTGGAGGAGGAGGTCATTTCAAAAGAATAAATGAACAAGTCGTGAACAACTTGTGACGGCCATTGCATTTTGTGAGATTTGACAAGATATTCTCACGTTACTTCTGTTATTGCTAGAAAGTGCACTGCTAGACACAATTAAGTTAATACATTTTAAAGTGCAGATTTTTTTTGTAGCTATTCTAAAATAATACCATAAAACAAAATTAGATTATATTTTGTAATTTATCTGCTGCCTCCTTGTGGCGATAATGATACATTACATCACCCTCACTCACTGCGGGGCTTTATTTAAGATGTTTTGGTCGGAAGGAACACCACGCTTGTGTTACATCTACAATGATGCGTCAGCTTTCAGGTTTTTATTATTCTTGTTGGCCATTGTTCTGGGGTATTAAAGAACACGCTTCATCAACTTCGATTGATATTTAAGACATTTGATAAAAACTGGTCGCTCAAAAGCTGCAGCGTTGGTTTGAGCGTGCTGTCCTTCAGTGGGAACATCATTCATAGTCTTTCTCATGCTTGAATTTACACATAATATAATAGTAATTAAAAAAGTAATAATAATAATTTGTTTTCAGGTGAAGAATCAAGCAATCACCTCTACTTGATGACATTTGATGATTTTCGACGCTGTGTCGCTCCCATTTAAAACCACAAGGTGGAAATAATATTTTGTGACCTCTAGTAGCCACAATGTGTAACTGCAAAAACACGCTTATCAATTTGACTATAATTAAAGGTGTCTGGACTTCCGGTGAACATCAGTTAAATGGGAAACAACGTTAAAGTTACCAATTTCCTTCCTTAATTCCTTGATGTTCTCTTGCAAAACACATGATTAAAGCAATTGTACGAAATATATAACTCATATATCTTGAAACTATGAAAATATTGGTAATTCATTGCTCAATGTTTGCATGATTCTGTTACCAAACTGATTAACTGAAGCAACTTTACTGTTAAGTAATTTGCAGGAATATGAGTTTAGATTTTGTATGATGTATGGTTGCACAAACATTAATAATAGCCAACACTAGATATAAGGAAGGGACTCCTGTAACAATTGCAATTTCAGGGACTGTGACCTTTCTTAACTTGGAATAATCCAATTAAAAAACCTTTTTATCGTCATGTCCTTTCCTTTTTTGTTTTAGATCTAATTTTCATAAGTGCTCCTCGCTTTTCTCATTTCATTGGTGAATGTCATTTCACGACAGGAGGTTTGGCCGAGAGATATTCTGTCCCGTGCTTGGGGGCAGAATGGGGTGGAGCCCCAGCATGGGGGGGCTGATGGGTGGAGACTGGGTGTAAGAGGAGGAAAAGTTTGACTCGGTGGTCACAGGCAGCACAGGCATTTGAGTCAGGGCACACATGCTTTAGCAGAGAGAGGCCTCACTCCCCTTGGCTGGCTGGCATCCCAGAGCAGAGGCAGAGAGAGAGAGACAGAGACAGAGAGGGCTAAATGTAAGAGATCAAGGTTGGAGAGAAATTTAAACTGAAAGAAGACTTGTGAGAGGCAAACAGGTAGTTTAGGAAGTTGTCAGGAAGGAAGAGAAAAGACTTTGGCATTCATTTCTGCGTGAGGTGGATCAGTTAGGTTGGTTTTCAGCAGTGTTTTCCACAGTGAGCTTGTAGGTGGTTTCATTTGGAGCTGACAGATATGGCGGACACAGGGGTTAAAAAGGAGCGCGCAGTCCATGCAGAGGTGTCTTCTGATGATGAGGAGGTAGCTTTGATGGGTGCCGCCGCAGAGCCGGCAGTAGACGATGACGATGACCCTACCGGGGAGGTGGACCTGGTCCTGTCCACTGGCCCCGGAGGAAAGAGTGAAGCTCAGATGAACGGCGTGATGGTTCTGTCTCTGCTCGACAAGATAATCGGGGTGGTGGACAAAATCCAGCACACCCAGAACGGACTGGAGGCCCGGCAGGAATCCATGGAGAAGTCGGTGTCAACCATCCAAGGGGAGCTGGCTAAGCTGTCCAAGACCCACGTCGACACCGCCCACACCGTCAACAAGATGCTGGACAAGGTGCGCAAAGTCAGCGTCAACGTCAAGACGGTGCGCGGCAACCTGGAGAGGCAGGCGGGCCAGATCAAGAAGCTGGAGAGCAACGAGAACGAGCTGCTCAAGAGGCGCAACTTCAAAGTCCTCATCTACCAGGTGAAGTGCGGGTCGCTCCCGTTTACCACCACAGTCCGTGCGAGAGCGTGGTCAGAGCAACAGCATCAATAATCACAGTACGTGTTAGCTGAGAATGGGGCGTGTGGCATTCCCCACGTCCCAAAGAAAGTTTGTCAAGAAGTGTGAAAGTAACCTGAAAGTGTTTCAGAGCCGCTCTCTTAAATGATCTGACACGGTCACACTGCGGCATGAGCTGACCTCCTCTGGCGGAAATGAAAAAGGGTTCTGATGATTTTTGCAAGGATTCAGCTCCATGGTTTCCATGACATAAACATCTGAATCACGCTTTTCCGAAACCTAGACAAGGCTGCAATGTTTACAAAGTATCCAACAGTGCCTTCTACTATGCAGAAGCCTCTGTGCAGTCTCTGTTCAGGCTCACTGAGAGGTGGGCTTTTCTTTATGCCAGTTGAAGGAAAACCGGTAGCTTCCATGGAAAAAAGAAGTGAAGGCAGGTAGTGACCTCTCGCACTCCTCAGGCCTTCACGATTACCCAATGAAACTATATAAAGACTTGTGGGTGTAAATAAAAATATAAGGCCTATAAACGCAGGCATGTGGGGCTACTTGAGACATAACCAACGCCCCACTTCTGACTGCCCTGAGGACAGATGGTTGGCAGGCTGCTGCCACATAAGATGAAGTTATAGTTTTTGTGATGAAGATTTCTCAGAAGGGGGAAGGGATTTTTGGTGGCGCACATACGACTCAGTTATTACAGTAACGTAAAATCTGGACGAGGGTTTTTTTTTGTGGAAGTTTGTCCTTTACAGAAAGACACTGATATGACAGATAACGGAGCTAAAAAATGAAGCAAACAAAATGAATCCCATGTGAATGCGTCAGAGCGTGGACTGATCATGCAGAGGCAGCCTCAGAGAGCTGTTCTTTTTTTAGCAGGACGTGCCGTCATGTCTTACACTCCTGTAAGCAACCGGCTTAATTATAAATATTTTTCTCTTTCCATCTTAAGAAATTCATGCAAACAGCAGTTGATTTATTGTTTACTGATAACATCTAAACCTTTGCCAGCTGGAAAACAGTTCTACTAGAAGTGTGTCTGTGGGCTGTTTGCTTCTCATGAATAGAAGTTTACTTCAGGATCTATATTGGCAAGCTCAAACCTCTCCCATCAGCCACTCGGGAAGTCCAATGTAGGAGCAGGTTACACTATTGGAATCTTGCAGAAATCCAATCATAGACACCAGACCTTAATAAATTACTCTGTAAAGCAGGTGCCTCCTGCTGTGTGTGACACTCCTGCAGACCTTTACATCAGTGTGAGAAATATAGGAAGAGTCAATCATGTAAATCAAACTTCAAAAGAGTTCAACTTGATTGCTTATGTTTGGTTTTTGTAGCATTTCGGCATGGTATAAATGCTTCTTCATGTAACATCTCACCTATTAGCAGGCTCTGAACTGCCATGCCTGCAGGGCGGCTGCAGCCGCCGTGGCTTCCATGTTGCAGAAGCTGTTTTGGGCTCCTCAGATCTATTTTTTGCCAGGGGGGCCGTGGCACCGTGTTAAGCTGAATTGACCAACAGCCTGGTCAGATACTGGAAGTGTTGCAAATCAACTCCGGCTCTCAGTCAGGGTTCACCAGTTTCCACCGTCTCTGTGAGGGTAAAGTTTTGGATTAAACCAACGGGGAAGCAGAGCTGAGGGGTTGTGGCGCGGCATGTGGAGGTTAAGGCAAACGCCCACGGAATCAGTTTGCCAGTGTGTGTACGGGTATTTGTGCGTGCGGTCATTCCTTTCTACTATTGGCTTTCACCTACCATGTCAGTGTCACTGGAGCTAGAATTTCAGTAAGATAAGTGACACATTTCACAGCGCAGGACCTCTTACTCTTCTTTGTTGCTTTAACTGCAGGGCTTTTATTTTTCTGTCATGTAGCTCTGCGTGTTCCCACTGAGAATAGCCACATAGTTGAAAATGTCCTGTCTGGAGAGATGGGGATGTTTTATATTTAAACATGCAGCGATGGTAGCAGGCAACATCCCCCGGCAACAACAGGGTGTGGCCACGACTTGGTTACCAAATGCATTTTACAAATAGGCAGTTGGTGTAAAGTGGGCTGGAGAGCTTTCCAGTAGGTGTGAGGGTGGGCTTTTCGAGTGACAATCCCATGACCATTGCTGCAGCTCATAAATTGCTGTAAAACCTCTCACCAGAGCTCTGCAGTCAGCAAATCATTGGTGATTCTCAGGATTATAGGTTTTCAGACCCTCACTGCATATTTTCTCTGTATTGGAAATAAATTATTTTGACTCACAAGTAGTAAACTTGGAATGAAAAGCAGTGGCTACATTACTACTGAATTACACTGTAATTCAGTATATGAGATAGCGGACCGAACTGGAAAGAAACATTGAAATGGAAAAATAAAACATGCAAACAGAAATATTTTGCATATATCACGTCAATGAAGATCCTAGTTAGACCTTTGATTTCTATAGATTGGGGGGCTGATCTGACAGGAAACAGATAGTCAGTCACATTATTTTAATCTTTTGCCAGATCAAACTAAAATTGCAGCACTGTTATTTCTAATACAAGATACCCAGTTTGTGAAGTTTTTTTTTCTTTTTTACTGTTATCGCTCACCTTTCCTTATTCACATATCCTCAAAGCAAACGATAAATGCAAATGGATGCATGTAAATGTCCCAGCAGCAGCTCAACACCCTGAAACTCCCTATCAGTCTGTTCATTTTGAAGCTATCTTTATTTTGAGGCGTTACCAGGATCTGAAGGAAGTTGTTCATTATTTCTCAGCAGATGCAACCTGTTTGCCTTGGATAAGCATGATTAGAGATGAAAATATAAGCAGGGCAGCGTCCTTTGATTTTTGTGATACTTCAAGGTGAGGCAGGAGTGAGCGCTGAATTAATCTGTGGCTATTTAAGCAACCACCGCTTTGTGAAAGAGAAAAATAAAACAGTTAAACCAGTGTATAACTGCAATCTTTAATTTATCCTTATGATATATGATATTGTGAATTTACATAGGGCATTATCAAACTGTTTCTATTTCACTATTTGATTTACTTTTGAACTCCTGTGGTTAAAGCTTGACATGGGTCTGACAAGCATCTGTTACAAAGCGAATCTTATAAATGCAATTATGTGCTTTAATATCGTTTCTGTAATATGATAGCATAAATCCATCAGATTGGTAGACAGTACTGTTGTATGTCTGGAATGAGAGTTTGTTTGGCCGCGGCCCAAGAGGAGCGATAGCTATGTGCTCAGCTCTATCAGGGAGATGTAAGACTTCTCAGTTACCGACTACTCTGTGCGCGCCAGCATCCCAGACCACACAAAGCTGGAACCACGGCCATCGGGCCTCTGGTTTTCTCTTACAGATGTTTACTCTGAGCAGGCTCTGCAATATCGCTGTTCCATGTACTCCACACGTAGTGATCCAGCCAGAAGGTTTTGGCCACTTCACTAAACCTTTCCAGGCATAGACTGGATGTCATTCACTACAAAAGAATAGTTGTAAAGTACTTAACATATTCTTGCCAGCAAGGAGAAAGCCACTTGATGGGAAACCAGTCAACCAGCAGCACCAATTTGGCGTTCTGATTCATGCCGCTGGCATCTCTGCCTGCCCTGCCAAGCACTTGTTCTCTACCCTTCTCAGTTTCTCTCCCTTATCACCCCCACAATCAACACAGCTCATTTACTCCCACTCAAAGTTCTAATCTAAAACTAAGGGCTCATTCAGGATTTGCTACGGCACTTTGCTCACTATGTGGACCTCTTTCCGTCTACCCCCCCCCCCTCGTCTGTCCTGAGTGGGTGGAAAGATTATCCCAGTGGGGACTCTCCATTTTTACATTTGCATGTCAGCTATAATGTTGAGCCTCTCCTAAGTTGACCCACATGCGAGTCGTTGCATGTACGCAGAATGGCTTGTTTGCAGCTTTGAGCCAAACTACAAACGTACAGAGACTAAATCAGTAATAGTAATAACAAGATGAACCAAAGAAGAAGTCAGAGACATTCACATATCAAAGATTTATTCATTTCTTTAACAAGCTGTGATCCAATTACCTTTCAGTTCGGTTATGCAAAGGTTTCAAATGCATGGAGATGCAACTGTCTGTAACAAGTTGTCGGGATGTGGACGTTGGTCACTTCTTTGCAGAATCTATCCTGAAAACAAGTATCCGCACAGTTATTTAGCAACTTCTTTTTGTCAGTGAGGATGTGTAATCAGTGCCGTGTTTCCATTCAGTGATTGTGGTTGGTCTACGAGGTAATGAGTCATTTCTGCAGAAAGCTACCGGGTTCAGATGTTCTGAAAGTCCTAGCGTGTTTATATCTGACTCAGAACCTGAAAGTAATCGTGCATTTCCCAGAGTGTGAAACCATTCGTTTAATATGGAGGTAGTCTGTCCCATGCTTGCGTCTCCCTCGCTGTTCATTGGTCCCAGTAGAAGCCAGCGACATCATGGAGCCAGAGTAATGTTTCTTTTGGCGTGTTCAAAAGAAATCTGGGCTCAGAATACAATACGGTTCCTTTTTTGGAGTCAGCGCACACATTTTTTGCTTATGAGCAAAATGTGAGATCAGTGGAAAGCAGAATCAACTCATTTGTTTGTAATTGTTTCATATGGTGGAAGACAAACATATGTTCTTCCTTTGAAAATCCCGTTTCCTGTGCTTCTGTTCACTTTGTATTTTTTTGGATTGTTTTGATCTTTTTTTCATTTGTATTTTTTGCCTTTGTACACGTGTTGACAGTGGCACAAAAATGTCCCTCTGTCTAACAGAATAATATTTTTTTAACACTTCCCACTCCCTGGAGAGTTGTGTGCCCAATCTGGCAATTGATATCTGACAAATTGACACACTGCAGTTCTTCTCTGGTCTGATTTTTTAGATCAAGTTTACAACACTCTGTAGTGCTTCAAAGTGCGTGTGAGCATGTGTGTGTGCGTGTGTGTGTGTGTTACAGAGGAAGGGGC